GGGCAGGTTATTTTCTTGCCCTCCGAGGGCGGCCCTCCAAACATTTTGAGGGCCGACAAACATGACAAACATGGAAATCTGCTTAGATGCATAAAGTATGCAGGTTTCGGCGGTATTATTCAGTATTTTGTTTACAGCTTAGTAGTATAAAAATGAAAGTACAGTGACGTTTCATGAGTATTTGCACCCCAGTACTTCCAAAATTGGCCGCTCTTTCTATACCGCCTGCTTATTACGGCTAGTATAGACCCTGCGCAGCGCGAATATGAAGTTTTGACCAGCAGAAAAGAAGTGGGTCTCGGGCCTTCCGGAGTACTGGGTGCAAATACTCATGAAACATGAGTGTATACACCATAACGTATTCCACAAGCGAGTGGATCACACAAGCCAGTGGATCACCCCAAAACACATAGTAAATGCGATAAATTACAACTTGATATCTCAACAACGGTGGTCTATATAAACTTTTCCTTGTAGCCTAATGCTTTTTGTATGATATATAGCCGCTTTAGGGAGTTTTAAGAAATTCAGTGGACTAGTGACTGGGATATTTATATTTCTGGGGCTCCCGCGGTGTAATTTTCGATACCACGACAATTTAACTTTGCGATTTATTCAAAACTGATGCATACTACTAATAATGCTTATCAATTACTATCGACAAACAAGGAGATAAAATAAACATATGGTTGTTGAGATATAAATGTAGATTTACTATGGTGTTTTATCTGCTTCGTATTGGCAGGAAGGTCACGATCAAGCTTGCCTTCACTTATGGGAGGAAGACGATGGTCATTCTATGCCTCCATCACGAAGAGTCGAAAAGAGAGGACGTGTGTCTGCAACCAGCAGAATGTTAGCTGAGCGTGAGGCACACATTGCGGCGGTGGAGGAGGATACTGGGCAAACTTCGACTTGAGAACGTGTATATGAGCTAATGCGATGTGATGTCCGCTCATGTCCGCGTAAGTCTGACTGGTGCTGGGAGGACCCGAAGGACAAAAAGCATTACAAACTCAGTGCACCACATCTGGAACGACTTATCGACTATGTCGATGAGGGTGGCATCCTAGATGGTCACGATGATGTTCCAGGTGATATCCGTCGAGACCTTACTCTGGGAAGCCAGGCAGGAAGAAAGTCAAAAAAAAGTCGATGTGTCAACAACGGGACTACCATATCCTCCAACTATTGTCAATGTTCTACCGGGAAAAGATGGCAGTGCTTCTAGGGTCACCTCGTCCCCACCCAGGTCTTTGGCTGACGAGCCTCTCATGATTGCCGGACCTCGTGAATCGGCTGTGAGAGGATACTGCAAATGGCTAGAATCACGCGCCACGGAAGAAACCTACAAGGCTGATTTCCGTAAGATTTGCCAGGTGACTTTGGAGAATCACCTAGATCTTGAACTGGTACTCGAGGACCCAGACTATGACTTCTTCGTTCAATGAGGAATCCGAATTGGAACTGCTCGTCGCTTCCTACGGGACATCAAAGAATGGGCCACGGCGATGAAACTAAACATGCGTTGTGACCAGATCGCCGCTGAATAAGCTGTTGGCGCCGGATAGACTTAATGACTGGTTTCTTTACAGTACCCTCGGTGTGGCTGGCTCCACGGAGGGTTCATTGGCGCTATCCTATCTCTGCGGGTTGAGTCGTCATACAGATTTCCTTTTGGCCTGTCATAGTCTGCGCTTGGATGATTAGCTTGTTACATTATTGGGTCAGTACAGGATATATCGAAAACAGTTTCACCACTTGCACACAGGTTCTTTCTCGAAGCCTCTTTGGAAACCGGCTACACCTCTTTCGGTTACCCTACTCCTGGCCGTTCATCCTGGGAGTATTCCAGTACAACTTGAGAGTACAGCTTAAGAATAGCTTCTGTATTTTGCCTGTATTAGCCTCGTGGGCTTCTAGAACGTTGACCATGCAAACTAGGTAAACAGAAAGGGATCTGCCTTGATTGAACGTTTACTGCTCCGTACATTCGGCAGCTTTGGCCATTTGCGAGACAGTTGGCAATTTGCTTAACATCATATCTTGAACCATCTCAAGCTTTAAGTGAAGGAGTCTCGGTGCCGTTTTGGGAAGAGGAATAGGGATGATGCACAAAGGGGCTTTGCAGGCAGCGGTTGGTGACCGCTGAGGAGTGGTAGGGAGCAAAGCGATCTGCTCATCCTTGCTCACCCTCTCCTTAGCGAGCAGATTGAAAATTTCTGGTTGAGAGGTCTGGGACATGGTGGATATTAAAAATTGCACATGACTTGGAGATCTCAGGATTCCTGGGAGCTTGGTACCCCCCTCTCAAGCTGCGGCCCTCAAAAAAAGGTGGTTGACCGGCGCATCATGTTCTCTATCATAGCAATCTTAAAATGCAGTCTGGTGTTTCTCATCATTCGCTCCTGAAACCGCTGAGATGCAATTGCCTCTTTAAGCAACGAGGTCATTGTTTGTTTTTGTCTACAGACTACAGTAGTCATTCCTCACATGACTCTACTGATTTGACCACAGCGTCTGAGCCCGTGCTGAGATCTACTCACTGAGCCTGAGCCTGAACCTGAGCGCCCTCATAAAAGCGGCGGTAGCCCAGATAGGAAAGCCCCACCTGGCAGACATTATCCTGTCTATATAGTCGCATATATTTGCGACTGAAACTGAGATAAAAATAGAAAATGGGGGCCAGGCGCAGAAATCGCCAAGAGGCCCCTGAACAAATACAGGCTTCCCCGCACACCCTCTGTGTCTATTTTCACCATTCCACGCCAGATTCCATTCTGTATTCAATTTCAATGCGGAACACAGAGAAGTCAAAAAACGAACCCGAACAACCAATATAAACTTTGAGAATTCGACTGTCATGGCCTCAGTAACACCCGTTTCAACACTCCCCCCGCTAACTACTAGCGACACAACAATCTCCTTCCACCCATTCACAACGTCTTGGGCCGCACCATCAGAATGCTCAAATATCTTCATGGCCATCACAACATCAACGTCATACCATCTAACGGCATTTTATCCCGAATACGGGATATCTATCAATAAGAGCATAACATGTCTCCCGGCAGAGTTCACCGAATACAGATCTACTGGCAGCCCCCGCAGCACACAAACCTACCTCGGACCCTTCACATGTCCAGGGGGCTGGGTCGAAGCTACAACGAGTGTAATTTCGAGCTTTTTTACTAAGACTATGTGCTGTCCTAGGTATGTTACTATATAGGCCTCACTCTCTCTGCTTTCTCCTTTCTCCGCTCCTCTTTCTGACGTTTCGTCTTATCTAGTGGATACGACAAAGTCCTAAACGAAGTCAAGGGTGGAAACAAAGTATGGGGAACGTGTGTATCAAGCGTGGATCCCAACCAGGGTTTCACATATGCATATCTGAATGAGGACGATAAATGGATTGTCACCACCAACGCAAGCACCGCCGCGACAAACACCAGAGCCAAGCACCTAGCTTATCGCACTGTCATCGGATATACTGGAGTAACGGGATTTAATACTGCGCCGGTATCCAGTACTTCTCTCCCAACGACTGCTTCTGGCGCCGATTCTGGATCGGGCCTGAGTACGGGCGCAAAAGCGGGTATTGGGGTTGGTGTCAGCCTGGGAGTCACTGTGCTTCTTGCATTATTTGGGTTTGTGTATTTTCTTGGGAGGAGAAGACGGAAAAGCTCTTCTGAAAAGACAAGTGCCGAAGACTCTGGTAAATCTACTGAATTGCCAGCATCGGAACCCTACGAGCTGGATGGGAAGGATGATCGGCCTCCGACTCGGCAGGAATTGCAGTCTAAGGGCGATGCGCCGGAGTTACAAGGGGATCAAGGTGGTTTGACACAAGAGTTGGAAGGGGTGAATAATTGGCCTCCACTTGAATTGGAGGCTACGAATCCGGGTGACAAAGTTACGGAGAGGAACACGGGGGATATTAATACTTAATAATAACATATAATCGGATAACCGGCATCACCGGCATTAACTTGTAGGTTCGCTACAGATCTCAAGAGCTAGACTTCTTGGCTATTCAATACATTCCTATGTCTGTGGAGCGATGGTTGTTGTAGATATAATGTCATTTCTAGTTGAATAGGCCGATTCCATGGTCTTTGAAATGTTAAGTGATGCGAAGGATATTGAGAATATGACCGCTGATAGGGTGAGTTTAGATACGATTAAACCTCAGGCATGCCGCAGAAAAACTCTAGTTACTCTATAGAAATATCACCAAGTCATAGCTTATCAAAAAAATTGCTGTAAGCTTTGGCCGTGCCAAGATTGATCTTCCGCTACTTAGAATGCTCTAAGGTGTGAGCAAATGATACTTTAACCGTTAAATAATAAATGGCTCATATCTGGACCTTGACTGTTTCTTTTGGCTGGGAGCTCAGCCTCCTGCCAAGCGACCGGCAACTCTACTCCTTTGAGTTGCCGCGCCCGCATGGGATGGTTGGGTCCATATTGGTCGAGCAGATATTGGTTTGGTGAATGTTGGTTGTACGTATATTGGTTCGCCGCAATCTCGTTATGTGGTGTTCCTTTGGAATTTGATTTCCTGCACAAGAGCCACAATGCAGCTAGCAAAGCCACCACGCCGATGAAGCCCACCGCAACGCCAACTCCTATTCCTATGGACGCCCCGGTGCTGAGCCCATTATCTGAGTTTGAACCAGAATTACCCGAAGAAGTGCTCCCAGAGCTCGATTTTGTAGAGGTTGTAGAGGTTGCAGAGGCTGTAGAGGTAGAGGATGTTGTAGTGGCTGGTACCGAGGCTGGGGTGGTTGAGGTCGAAGTTGTAGTCGCTTCATCTTGCTTGAGTTCCTACTCCGACAGAGCAATTATGCCTACGGTCGATTTCGTTGTTAGGGTGGCTGTTAAGGTTAAATAGGAGCCTGAGCCTGAAACTGTCGATGTATATGTATACGTTTCACCTGACGAAATGTGAGATATGTATTGTCCATTAAATTGCAAAGTAGTGTAACCAGTTAAGTTGTATTCTCTGTATTAGGTTATTGTCAGAAAAGAATCCTATGTCTCAGGATTCAGAAGCAAACAGGGGCACTCACGAAGGGCAACACATATAGAATGTACTGTAAGCGGTACCGGTGCAGCGGTACTGGTGCAGTGGCTGCACCAAGGCCTTAGTTCGGTGCAGTGGTACGTGGGGCCGACTGCACCAAGGGCGAGGTTCGGTGCAGCGGTACTTTGGGTGCAGTGCAGCTGCACTGTAAACAATGCAAGCATTGCCTAATTCGGCTTATCCCGTGACTTGTATATGTTTTGTTGGTTACCAGATTGGCGGTATCAAGCCGAATGGGGTAATCTCTTGGCAAAATCTGGCCTTGGCAGCACCTGGCTGCACTGCCAAGAGGTGCAGCTGCACTTGTCAAGGCCTAGGATAGGGCGTAGCACCTATAGTCGCTAGGGAAGCACGATGGAATAGAGTAGCGATCACGCCTAGGCAGCCCCGGAGAAGTGGGTCAAGGATAAGGCACTAGGATAAGGAATTAATAAGGTGGTAAATCATCGAATCGAGGAGAGAACGATCGAGGGGAATAGATAAAGAATAATCTATTTGAAGAACGAGTAGACTATGAAGGCTGAGTGAATACCCTATGAACGAACAATCTGTACCGTGTTGCTCTTCTAAAAGCCGTGCAACCTCCTCACAATGCCACCTGCGCTAAGACGCCGAATAATTCCGATCCTAAGAGTGAATTGTGAAGGCAACAAGGGCTCAGCCGTAGTTTGCGACCGAAAAGTAACAGGGGGGCGAATGGGGCAGTCGGCGAGTCCGATTGGGCGGGCGAAATTGCAGGGGCGCAGCGATGAGTGCAAGATAGAGAGGCAGAAGAATGGAAAAGTGAGAGAAAGGGAGGAAGAGCAGCGAAGACGGGTCTTTTATTACAGACACAACTATCGTAGTGTCATCAGCTCTCACCCTTCGGTCGCCAGAGACCTTGCCTCGGAGGACCTTCTCTAGTTTCTTCTCCAAGGTCACTACCCAGAAGGCGTTTGGGGCCAGCACAGCCTCCTCTTCCGTGTCTTTTGCCACAACCTTGTTGTTGACTGTAACCCGCCACTCTATTAGGTAGTGGATACAAGTTGGAGGGTCTTCATCGTAATCTCTTCCCTCTTCCCACTGGGACAACAGAAGCAGTTTGAGGGTATCTGTCCGTGGCTGACTTGCTGACTCGAATCCAGTCTCACGTATTCTAGACCGGACGGGGCTACATGTGGATCGAGTATCGTATGGGCTGCGAAAGTGCCCTGGGGTTGGGGCGTACTGCGAGTTCTGTTCCCATGGTTCGAGCTCGTCAGGCTGGGATATGTAATCGGTGTCGTACAGACTTCCAGTCGTATCTAATTACCAAACCGAGCTCATACAATCCACCAAAAGCGGATTGCTCGAAGTGAAGCACGACCGGAACATCCTCCATACGCAGAACGAGAAACTTCGTGAGGAAGTTCGAGCCTTGCAGGCGTAAACCGATGCGCTCCCGTCAACAACTGCGGCAAAACCGTGGGCCGCGGCAGCAGCGAGCCACCCGCCTCTTCAACCGAACCACAAACGCATCGACAAGGATCAGAACTGCGTCCGACTTAGCACTCAGCGCTCCTTTGTAGATCCGAGAGACAACGACAACTCGGGTGCTTCCTAACATAGAGCTTTGGTAAGGGACTTGTATCGCCGCCGGAAACGATAAATTGTGAAACCTCTAGTATTTGATCTACAGAATATGAGGTGGGTTTCAAGCACATAAATTATGAGACATATCAGGGGTATTCTGGAATATCGTGTTCAGCGTAGAATACGTCTTTCAAGGTATTCATTCTGTGGGTAAATATAGCCATCCCTACTTGTTTTGGGCTATTTGCACATGCTGAGAAATAATGGCGGCAAGATCAATTTGAATACTCAAAGGCTTTGATTCATCCTTGCTTTTGTATTGCTGTTTCATAATAAGCATCAATCGTTCATTCCAGAACGGCAAGCAGGTTTCGAGCTCAGATGCCGAGAACGCGGTAGCTTTGTTGTCACTCTCAGTATATAGATCCTCTGGCATATTCCACTTGAACGAGTTCGAGCCGGACGGCAAGTCAACCGAGCAGGTTAAACCGAGATCATGCAGGTCAGAGCCATCAGGTATACGTTCGAAGGGAAGCCGGTTGGTGGGTAGTCTCCGGGCCTTTCCGTTGCTCGTTGAAGGCTCATCGGTAGAAAGGTCTCTTTCCTGCCGGATGAGGTATGCTCGCGGATCATGGGGGGAGAGAGTTGTCGCAGAGAACGGCTGACCAATCGAACTTTGCGACGAAGTTAAGGCAGCTTTTGCGGCAAGATATCGACTGCGATGAGGCGAATGCGATACTGGAGCAGTCTGCGAACTGGATGGTTTACCGTTCGCCTTGAAGCGTGTGCGACTGTTCTGGATGGCTTCTTTCTTCCGCCTTTCAAAGTCAAGTGCTTTCTCCACATCAGATGGTTCCTCATGACTGACTCCTTCGTGAAGTCGAGCGGCCCACCTTTCGAGAACCGGAAGTCCTCGACTACTATCCATTGACTCTGTAATATAGTCATCTTGGTGTTCAGGTTGCGAAGGCACATGTCGGGCAGCTTCTGAAGTGATGCTATTTTTAGATGGACTGTCCGAACAACCATCATTCTGTCCATCGAGATGCACAATTTTCGGCGAAGTATTCGTGGGCAAACCAAACCGTTGCTGAGCAAGGAAAGAAACCGGTGAATCCGGTTCTTGAGTCGGTCCTTCCTCAACAGGGTTTTGCTGCAGGGAGACTTGCGTGGTTCTCTGGAACCATGTGTCTAGAGCTCCGTTCCCATACCGATCTCGATCACGTTCTCTCTCAGCGCGTCGGGCGCTCGAAATGTGATTATTCTTCGGGGAGGACTCGATCGATTCTTGCGCATGCTGTCGACGGCGCCTCACTGGCGACCCAGATGCAAGTCGAGAAGTAAGGGGACTTATCAGGTCCGAGTTGGGAGAATGCTGGAAGCCTCGTGATTCACTCGCCCTTCGGACTTGTCCCTGCAAGCTACCACTGGATAGATCCACAGGGCTTGCTTGATTGAGAGAATTGGTCCCGCGTCGCGGTGTTTGAAATGAGGCATTGATTCTGGAGATAGACCACGGATTGACGAAGCGGGAACGCTTGTCTCTGGCGGTGACCGATTCGTCAGGACTTTCGTGGTCCTTGCCGCTAGAATGAACCGCAGACGAAAAGGCGTACTCAGATCGGAGCGGCTTTTGTGAGAGAGGCGTGCGGGGTATAGCTTCACTGAAGGGGTTCTCAGGATCGCGAGCCTGTGAGGAAAGGTCCGTAGTTGGCTTCCTAGCCATCAAAAGCTCAAATCCTCCCGGCCCTCCATCGGATGTGCAGGCATCCTCTTTGCCTTGGTTGGAAGTTCTTCCCTCCGCCCTACCTAATCCTCCGTAGTGGTCGTGAAACAGATCCTCCACCAAGACCAAGAGCACATCTCGGTCTTCGAAGAGCACATCATCTTTCGCTGGCTCGATGTTGACATCGTACGTTCCTCGGGGACAGCGAATTTGCAGACAGAGAAACGGATCGCTAACCGATTTGGAGGATTCATTTTTGGATGCGGCGACACGGATATATCGCTTGAAAGTTTTGACGATCTCATGCCCAATCCCCCTGCTACTAGAGAGAGGGCGGCCATCTACACTGATGTATTGGCCTGCGTTGTTGATCTTGGGGGTATCTAACTTAGTTGGTAACCACGTCACCCGATGTTCGATAAGATGAGCTCACCAAATTGTGTCTTTGGAAGAAGGGCGATGGCTTCGTACTCCTTCCGGTCCGATGGTCCTCGTTGATTTCCAGCGGTACTTTGGGAGGAAAGGCGCTTCACGGCACAAGAAGAAGACACTTCTGTGCCGGCTACCTTGAGAGCTGCATCCGGGAGCGAGGCGTCTGCATTTGGCGCATAGGTCCAATTGCTGTTTTCATTTTTCGCCTTTAGAACTTTGAGGGAGAACCTCTTGGATGGTTGAGCTATAGCGTAGGTCTGGAGAAGCCTTTTGATCCTCGAGAGATTTTTCGTAGCACCCTTCAAGGCAGTCTGCCTGCGGACAGGGATGTGTTTGACGAAGTCTGTGATACGAACAGTTGTGCCCACAGGATGTGACATCCGTTGTGTTCTGCGGTGAAAGGTTAGCGTGTCACGGAAGCCAGAAGGCTGGCGAGGTCAGCATACCCAGTAAGCTCTCCATTTCTTCCATACTTTAAACAACGCCCGGCAACTTCGGACTCAACTCGAGTAGTGACAGCGAGTACCCCAGACATCTCTGCCACACTGGCAAGTGCTTCACCACGAAATCCCAATGATGACCCGCCTATATTTTTGAGATCATCTAAAGTTTGGATCTTGCTGGTAAAAGCTCGTTTGCAGACATTTTGCTGGTCCTCTGGAGAGATGCCGTGGCCATTGTCCTTGAGCTGTATGACATCTAGAGTGTTTGCGGAAATTTCAATCTGCAAAGACGTAGCAGAAGCATCCAGCGAATTGTCTACAAGTTCCTTCACAACAGAGTAGGGATCCGAGATGACAGATGTGGAGCCAATCGCCCGGATTGTTTTCTGAGGAAGAGCCTCAATCGGCATCCTGCATGCCTGTATTAGTTGTTCATCTCCGGAAGCACCGCAAATTGTCTCATCCAGCTGACTGAGGTTCAAAAAAACATGCGAACAATATGAATGGCTTATATTTGATGAATATCGACTCGGCAAATGTCGAAGGAGGATGAAATTGTCTTGGCACATGGGTCACGTGGCATCGACGCCTTATAGCGCAGGCCAACTTCCTTTCCCCTCTCATCTTTCTTTCTTTCTCTCCTACCTGAAGCACAATCTGTGCCTGAGCCTGATGGATTTGATGCCTGTTAATGAACAATGATCTTAGCTCCGGAGGTCACCTGACCTTCGTTACGGCATATATAGCGGCGCTGGACAGCAGACTTAATTCACCAGTCACCAACTCCTCCCTTCAATATTTCTCGTTTCCTGCCTTCATACCATATATATGTCAAATATATCAAATATATTTAGCTTATTAATATGGAAGACGTTAGTTATATTGAGTTGCCCTTTTGGTGTATGTTCTTGGACATTATCATTGAATTAGTCCTCAATGAAATGACCGTTCTCCATCAACCGCTACAACATGCCATACTCGAGAACCTTCTGAGTCTGGAACATGGAAGGTCCCGGGCCTGTCCACGCTTAGTTCCTTTAGCATACCTTCCGATTCCCTTCATCCTGGTTGCTTTACCGTTAAATCGACCATACCTCTCACAACCCCATCACTTCGTACCGTACCCACCACAATACCAGCCGATATGGAACCCCAACCATTCCCGGGTGAACTTCCTCCCCTATGGTCGCCGCTCCTAGTGCGCGCTAAAGCTGTTCTCCAACACCACATACGATTTCCAACCAATGTTCAGTCACTATCGTCGACGAGGTGCAACAGAGCTACTAGGATACCGTCTTATAGGGCAACTTCATCAAAGCTTCCCTATCAGGCGTCTTGCCGTTGAAGTTCCCTCAGTTTCCTGCGCACGGAAGTGCGAATAGCGGCCCACTGTATGGCATTCATAAGCTCCCCACACCGACCAAGCTCCAGAGTCCATTGCCAAAGGCGAGCACAACCATACGATATGCCCTTGATCTTGACTGTGAGATATCTGACTTGGGGCCCCAAAATTCTCAAGAGACCCCGAAGCTTCTACCAGAAAAACAACTCTCGCAAAGCGAGTTGGATTACATACATACGCTACGATAGGGATGGGTTCAACGATGCAAAGGAACCCAACCATATCGCTCATGGCGCGTTTCAACAAGAGCTTTATCCCTTCTTGAGCTGTTTTCGCTGGTCCTCACAAGCGAGTGTACCGCGTTCCCCATTCGAGTTTCACAGGATCCTCGATTGTTCGCCAAGAGCGAGCAGTTTCATGAACATAGTTTTCAGGTCCCGACTCACCGAGCGCGCGACGCGAGCAGACCAGAGGCCGGACTCCCACCGATGCCTCATGTCAGTCGAATCTGCGAGATTCTGGATGCCTTTGCCATCTTGTGTGTTTCAGCAAGAAGCATAACGTTCGGCGTTTCCTAAACTGCATAGCATTGTGTCTGGGTCTGCGAAGGATCCGGGTCAAGTATCACCGTGAAGACGAGAATCATGATGACCAAGCGGACTTGCCGCTCGAGCCATCCACTACGACACTAGAGCACCCAGAAAAAAAAGATCGTGGCTTGGAATTTGTGGAACGTGGTATTGCACGCCAAGCAATACCATGTTCCACAAATGGTAAAGGAGAATCCCGTATCGCATATACCTTTTCGGTCCGCAAAACGGTATGGACCCCGGTGATGCCCCTACACTTCTACCCGAGCTAACGCAAGTAGAGTAGATGTTGATTTCCTTCGTCCATACGATCATTTAAGTACGCCAGGTTCGTGGTCAGCAGTATTTTTATCGCGGCATGTCGCTCACTTCTTAACCAGCGTCCCGAAAATATATACGACCGAAGGATACAAGCGTTACAGAAAACATGTCACGAACACCTAGTGAACCTCCCAGTTATCAATACCCCAGATCTGACGGATCGCTTGGAGATGTGCCTTGCTTGCCATATTCCTTTGTCTTGCTTCTGATCTCTTATTACCTACCACTGTGACCTCGCAGTGAGTAATACCCCAGATCCGACGGTGAATCTTTACGTTGGGCAGCACCAGCGCTAGCTCGAGTGCTTCATCTATAAGTCTCTCACGATCTCTCAAAAATCTCTCTTTTATCATCAAGCATAAGCCTGGCTTCTTGAGACCACTCCTTCATCTCTTCACATGGCATGTCTTGCGTGAAAGTCAGCCTTCCAGAAGGAAATTTACAGGTGTCATGGTGTCAACGAACACTATCTACCTGGCCTTTCTTGGTACCTTTGCTTAAGCATCGTTCTGAGGTTCTCGACAAGTGCATCCAAGTCGAGAAATGGTTGCAAACTCGGTTAGACCTCACTGTCAAGCCGGGTTGCTAGCGACAAGGGCTCATCACTATCGCTGGGCTAAGACAGGGCCTGGCACATTATATCCGGTTTGATGGATCTAAAGATCACGAACTCCAATCACGTGTGAAGCAACCTGAAAAAAGTCCGTCACAGCTGCACATATAATATCAAGTCGATGACAACGAGATTTCGCAACTGTTTGGTATCCACTGGTGCGCCCTCCTCCGTCTCCGGTATGTCATATAGTGCTCCTCTAATATCATACACCACGCCTGTAATACAAAATTTTCCTCGCAGCCGGCCACTGCGCGCGCCCAGCAGGACCGTCAGTCTCCTAATGTGTCTCCGGACGAGGATGCCACATTCGTTGAGAGTAAACCTTCTCCCCGATTGTGGAGATCTCAAGTTCTCCCCCGATATAGCTGTAGACACTCCTATAGACGGGCCTACGTTTTCGAAAATCGCCTCCACTCCTGCGAAAACACAATTCCTCGCCGATCCAGGAATGGGAAAGATTATTTAATCAATTGCAGAAATACAGATGTTTTTTTGTGGTGTTCCCATTCTTTGCAGAATCTAGCGCGGATTCCGAAGAGAATAATAAGCTGATTTGTACCTACATAATTAGATGGTGTCTTCTGTTGAAACCTCAGAGTTTCCATCTGCTTGGTTTATTATTACGTAGCTAGTAATATACATTTTCCGAATTGTTATTATGAACATAAGCTAGACTCATTTTCAGCGTCGATTTTGTTCTACATGTCGTGTCATTCCACCCGTCCACGATGAATCCTCTCTGGTTTGTTAGCGTCGCTAATTTCTGGCTTCAGTCTAAGGATAGAGCGCAACGTTTCCTCACCATTAAGTCACTTGCCGAGGCGATAATGAAAGACGACAAGGTGGCTAGACATTGCGACAGGTTCTACGAAACGGATGGAAAGTTCCGCGCTCGTTTGAGATCGTTGTCCCCCGCTAGCACGTACTCGCAAATCTGTACCATCTTGAGGATAATGGAACGGTGTTTTAGTTGCTCTGGTAAGGGAATTGGCGCAAGCGGTTATTGTGGGAGTCTATTATTACACATTTGCTATGTATTGAGACAATACAGGAGGGATAAAAGCATATATGGACAGATCAACGGATTCAATTGTGTGGACCCTTAAGAGTCGAAAACGATCCTTTAAGGGCACTATATGATACTGTGACGGTAGGCTAAGATAAAACAAGAGAAGAATTTAGCCGATACCGGTAAATTCTGCGTCCAGATGACAGAGGGTGTGTTTTCTGAAGCTTCGATAGACCGACGATCCATATGTAAGATTGAGTTATCGATCCCGACCGAGATCTGCCGATACGCTTAGATCATCTCTGATATTGTACCTACCTCCACGGGTGGGTAGCCAGAGTTAGAGTTTACTAGTGATACGCTCAATTTCGAGTAAACCCACCTGGGCAGCCGCCCATTATTACATATTGTCTGTTGGGTGATCAAAATGCATCTACGTTGTATTTGAGTTGCTCGCATAGCAAATATTCATTTACATTTTAGACTCCAACTATTGAACGCCACTAGAATTTAGTAAGAATATGAGGAATCTTTACAATAGCCCTTTGTCTGGTGGCTTCGCATTGATATCGTGAACATGGCTAGCTGAAGAAATCAACTAGGCTGAGATCGGAATTTAATACTACTCAATGGCCTGTAGCCCTTGCAGGGTCGGTATTTTCCTTCAAAAGAAAAATGACAAATAATATTAGGAATAGCTCCTTCCATAGCCTTTGTACAGTTCTCAGCGAATATAAGAAGGCCTTGTCGCCCATCTAGTACTCTTCCTTCTACCAGCCTGGTTTACCTCCAACGCATTCAGATAATACCTACCTCCAATCCTCAAGGTATATCAATTCAGCCCGCAGCCTTTTGAGACGCTCGTTGCTAATCGATCCTATAGCACGATGATACTTTCCCCCCTTATGGCTTTGGTCGCGTACGGCGCTTTTATCGCCAGCGCTTCTGCATCCCCCCTCGTTAAGAGGGAGGAAGGAATGTCATGCGATCTTCACAAGTGCATTACTTTCTATACAAGTGGTAGTGCAGGGTGCTCCTCTGGCTACGAGAGAACTCATC